CTTTGTTTTGTTTTCTTACAATATGAATATTATAGGATACACTCAAACCTATGAACCTGAACTTGAGTTTGCCAATAATGAAATTATTTGGGTTCTTTTCATTGATGATATTTAATAAACTTTTGTTGTTTTCTTATTGAGACTCTTTATAAATCCTCGTGAGAGACCACAGAAGTGACACAGTTATTAAAAAACATTGGGACTTCTTGTAAACATTCTGGAGGCTCCTCAACCTCTTGTAAAGGATGGAGCTCCTGCTCAGCTTCCAGTTGCTGAATCTTTCTTTCCTTTTCCTCTAAAACTTCTTCCAGCTGAGTGATCTTCTCAGTCTGAAGGGAAAGCTGGGTCGACAACTTCATAATCAGGCTGATTTTTCTATCACCTTCTTCCACAGGTGGGAGACCACCACAGAACTCTTCCAGTGAGTTGTCTTCTAAAGCAAACAAGAAAAGGAAAGTCTTAGTGGTTTTAATTGGATTTCCAGAACTCAAAGAGGGGAAAGATGAAAAATCTTCATTTCTCATATCCTTAAAAGAGAGCACAGATGTTGTTGCATCATCCGGTTAGATGCACTGAGAATGGAATCTGGGCCCAGCGAGGGGAAGGACACTGGGTGCTTATAAGAAGAGAACTTGGAGGCCTCTTGAGAGCGAAGAGTATCAGCCCTTGCCAACTCTTTTTTATCCACATTTAACTTTCAATTAACCATGGGAATGAGCCATCCTTGAAAATACAATCTACAAACATCCATCCCAAGTTTCATGCTATCCTTTGCCCTAAGAATCTTTCACAAGAGCTGCAACCAAGTAGAAATATGCTTCAATTCTAATTTTAATTTGACTGGAAAAAAAAAAAAAGAAAAAGAAAAAAGGTTGCCATTCCCCCTTCTGGGGAAAGCAATCATGAGAAAAGACTCATTCATTTCTTAACCCAAGTCGGCTTTAGGGTTGGCAGGGGTGTAATTTGAGGTGATCCAGGAAATCACTATTAGCATGGTATGTCCCTTAGAGATTCTTTTCTGTCTGAAGGCTTTTCAGCATTTCTTAATAAAATCACAAATACCTCCTGAACAGAAAAGCTTATCCTTTATCAGTTTCTATAGGCTTACCCCTCAGATAAGGACAAAGTCCTGACTAAGGAGGGACAGAGAAGCTCCTGCGGAGATCAGCGGTTGGTGACGGGCAGCAGGAAGTCCTTGAAAACAAATCTCACTAGCCCATCAAAACATGTAGCTCCTTAAAGCAGACCCTATCTTACTAGACTTTAGAAGTACAGTATTGCCCTCCTTACCACTCTAATCTTGAAATTTCCACCATTAAGTTTCTCTGAGCTATATAAAAAGCAGACTTAGGTATAAGTGTACTTTAAAAAATTCATGGAAAAATGGAATTGAAGGATAATACAAATCTTTCCATGAACTTTTTGAAGTACCCTTGTAGAAGTAGTAAGGGAAGTCAAGGGCTCGGGTATCATTTTATGGATAATAGAGCCAAGAGCATATAGGTGAACCTGACACATGGTCTCAACAGTTGATTGCTATAATTGAAGGTCCAGCATCTACTCAATTCCCAGTGAAAATAAACCCCACAGCTGCACCTGAAATGTTATTGGCAGTCCTGGATGCAAAAGCCTGCTACTATTGTGTACCTACACACCTGCTAAAGATGGGCAGCTTTGCTGTGGTAGTGCATGCAGGCAAGGAATCACCCATTTCTCAGCAAATAGAACTAACTGGCAGTCATCACTTTTCCAAGGGATGATGAGGTAAAAACTTGAGCACCACAGTGCACAGTGGGCAGGATGCTTTTATTTTCACAAAAGTGCTAAGAGGAGAGATCAGGCTATTTTCTGCTTTTAGAAATGATTATTAGCAATTTACTAAATTTTAAGATTGCATGGGAAAATTTTTGTTCTGAATATCTGGAATTCTAATATTTAAGGAGATGGTGGTTTGAGTACCTTTCTTAAGTTAAAGGGCAATGGGAAAAGATTTCAAATTTCAAAGGAGCATTTAGTTCATTGCCTCTGCAACAGGCACATGCTTTCCAGCCCAGGAGAAGGAGTCCACATGGTGGACCCTCCTTCCTCATCTGCTGATATGCCAGGGACTCACCTTTCCTTTCACTGGCCAGAGCTGTGCTGTCCCATGCAGTATCCACTAGCCACATGTGACCATTAAGAAATCGAATGTAGCTAGTTGGAATTGAGATGTGCCATTAAGGGTAAAATACACATTTGATTTGGAAGATTTAGTTTGAAAAAAATGTAAAATATCTCATTAAATTTTGTATATTGATCATGTATTAAAATAATATTTTGGATATATTGTATAAAATAAAATATATATTTTTGAAATTAATTTCACTCATTTATTTTTACTTTTTAAAAATGTGGCTACTAGAAAATTTAAAATATATGGCTTGCATTTGTGACTCATATTTCTATTGGATAATGCTGGGCTAGCATTTCCTTTCACATGAATATTCTCTGAAACCCAGGTGGATGTGTTATTTGTAGATGGCCCTAGTTAATCTCCACAGATGTTATTTGGGAAGGAAGACCAGTTGGTCCTCAACCATTAGCACATATGTCATTATTCTGTTACCCCCCCAGAGGGTAGAGGCATGGAATCTACACTTAGGAGAATGGGCTCGTGTGAGTTGAAGTGAGTTTCAACAGAAGCAGAAAGAAAAGATGAGAAGTGGCAGCAAGGTAACAGTGGGAAGCTGCTGAGAGAGCAGTGGGGCAGGATGGGGACGGCCAGGCCCCAGTGAGGCTTAGGGGTGGCAGGGTGCCTAGGAGCCTCTCTCCTTGTGTGTGTCTGTCTGCCACCGTCTCCCTTTTCTTTAACTGCTCCTTCAGGCTTTTCTCTCCTCAGTTTTTCCTCTCCTTTCAGAAGTTATCTTCACCTGATTTGCACAATGAAGAAGTTTAGTGACACTCCAGGAGGCAAACTGGTAAAATTTCCTTTTTTCTTGTTTTTTTTACATAATGCAATATAGGTAACATACTTTGTTCAACTATTTCTAATAAAAAATGGGCAAAAATGCAGCAGGGTGGCATTACATAGGCAATCCTAGTCACTAATTTACATCTTCTACTGGGAGAGAGAAGAGGGAGAAGGTAGAAAGACAATGAGAGAAAAAGAGGCAGGGTGTATTAGTCAGCTCGGGCTGCTATGTCAAAATATCACAGACTGAGTGGCTTAAACAACAGATGTTTGTTTCTCACAGTTATGGAGGCTTTAAGTCCCAGATCAGGGTGTCAGGATAGTCAGATTTTGGTGAGGACTCTCTTCCTGGCTTGTAAACAGCAGCCCCCTTCTTGCTGTGTCCTCACGTGGCAGAGAGAGAAATGGAAAGCTCTCTGGTGTCTCTTCTTATAAGGCACTAATTCCATCAAGAGGGCCCCACCCTTATGACCTCATCCAAGACTTATTAATTTTCACAGGCCCCATCTTCATATACCATCATGTTGGCAGTAGGCCTTCAGCAAATGAATTCTAGGGGGCCATAATTCAGTCCATAGCACAGGGAGAAGACAACTGGACAAGGAGTAGAGAAGGAACATGGAGCTGAGAAAAGGAAAAATGGCCTGAGGCCTTTGACTCCTCTCTATTGTCTTCATGTATTAAATGAATGAACATGTTGATAAGAAGACAAGCTAAAGAGTATTTAAACCAAAAAGGAAATTTCTTATACAAGTATATTTACTACTAAATGATCTTGTTATATATATAAAACAAATATTTTTGCTGTTTCTAAACACATTACAAATAACAAAAGTGTTTAAAATTCTTCTACAAAGTGGGGGACTCTAAGAGTCTCACGTTCTATTTGTATTGAAAATTGCCACAGCCACCCCAGTGAGTTTTCTGGCTTCTACCACTAACCATTGCATTGCTCTTTCCTCATCCAGGCTCCAGCCTCCCTCATCTGTGGCAGGGAGGGGTGGGTGTCCCCAAGGTCCTGACAGCTCTACATGTGCCAAATCTCTAACACCCATGGTCTTTCCTAGACTTTTGCTGGCAGCTCAGATAGTCGTTCCAAGGCCGTGGCTGCCTGAAGCATGGAGGTTCTGTCATCTGATCAGGTAATCTCAGGTTTAACCCCACACCCAGAGGCTCCAGGAGACCCAGAGACAGCAACAAGAAAGGCTCTCCTATCCATGAGAGAGGGCAAATTTGCTTAGCCACAGTTGGGGCACGAACTCAGCACACTTGCTACTGCTGCAAGGTTTTTACAGGCACATGCTATTTTTCATCCTTTCTCCTCTTTCTGCCATGACTTAAAATAGACATGAAGCAGGAATGAGAAGGAAGGTTTAAGGTCATAGCAAAGAGTATGCAGGAGAGGGGCAGTGGGAGTTGGGCAGGTTTAGAAAGACGTAGAAAGAGGAGAGATGACAGAAGCAATCCCGCCTGCGGCTGGGCCAGGCTGTGCTCACTTTTCTATGTCAGCCTTGAAAGATCAAAGACCCAGAAGAAATTGTGACATTTGCATTTGGCCCTTTCCAGCTTCCCATTCTTCATACTCTAAAAACCTTCATGCTCTTAGCAAAGTGCCACACAAGAGTTATGTCAAAAATGGTTAATAACAAGTAAATAGATGACAGCAAAGGTAATTGTATTTTAAGAAGTAGCTTAGAGACCAAGAGTTGGAATGCATTTGGGGGGCAATCTGGTCTCACTTGCCGCCCAGTACAGGAATTATTTTGGCAGCATTTCTATGATTTTCTAAGTGAGTGGCTCTGGTGTCCACAAGATCTTCCATAGGTTGGCTGCCAATTGCAATGAATGAGTAAAATGCACATTTTGTGATTGCTGCAGCTACACGTTTTTATAGAGAGAACTGACAGGTGGAAAGCTGTGCAGCACAGACTGGGAGGAAATGGGGTACAACTTGTTGCTAATCAGAGAAAGAAGGTGTACTGTCATTTTAGCTCAAAAGACCTAGAACATGTGAAGACATTGCTTTATGAGTCCAGGAAGTTAATAGTTTTCTGTAAACAGTGATACAGTGCTGAACAGTGACACAGTAAGTGGCAGGAAGGAATTATTAGATTTTCTAAAAACAGTGGTCCTTCAAATAAAAGATAAAATGAATCTTTCCATGAACTTTTTGAAGAAGCTTCGTACTTCTTTCTGAAGAGGGGTGTTCCTCATTAGAACCCTTGACTGGTGCCACCCCCCAAAAGTGTACATTGAACAGAGAAATGCTGAGAACTGCTGATTTAGTTTCTGATTCTGATGGGAAGCACACTTATTCCCAGTTGGATGGCAAATATCCTCCGTAGTCACCTTTTTGTGCATTCATTTGTCCAATTATGAATGACTGGGGCCCTGCGTGCCGAGAATGAATAAAATGGGATGTTAGCTCCTGCAGCTGCAGCTCTGTGGTGGGGAAGGGAAGAGGCAGCACTGAGCTGGGCCTT